TTCAGGCTTCTTAAATCCTGCTTCTTCTAAAGTGTTCATCTGCCTGGAGATGTCCTTGTATTTTACTTAAGGGCAAAGATAGCGATCAGCCGCTGGAGATGCGAATGTGTAACCTGAAGGGTTATAATGCAGACGATGACTTGGCTCTGTGTCTCCCGTGCTTGGGACACTTTGCTAGTTTGGAAAATGAGAATTGTACGTCATTTAAAGTTGTCATCACTGGTCTGATTCATTCTCTCCTCCTCATGAAGAGCACGAGTTAATAGTCTGCCCCTTTGCTGGCATAAGATATTGTTTTAAAAATTATTTTAACTTGTCTAAATCTTGGCAACTGGTTTAATAAATTATAGTATATCTCCAAGCAAGGATAATCTATTGCCAATAAAAGTCAGGATTCAAGGAGTATTTAACGACAAGGGAGGATGTTCATGATATATTGTTTAAGCATTACAAGCTGGTGAAAAATGGTATGCCTAATAGGATTCCAAGTTTGTAAAAAATAGATACGCACAGAAAAAAGGCTAAACTGTAACACATATTTTAACCCTGCTTGTCCTTGCAGGATGGAATTACAAATAATTTTTAAAAATTATTTTTTGTTAAGCCTTTGGGATGTTTTCACTTTTGGTACAGTGAACATGGGAGGCTTTTATAATGAGAGAAAAATCACTTGTTAGTAAAGTTATTTGCACTATTTTTCTTGCCTTCCTGGGGACCTGAGACTCAGTTTATCCTGATACTCAACACAGAGCAGATCTACAGAGAAAATTCAATGAAATCAACAGATTGCTGCTATCCTTTTGTCTGATGCAAGCAGGGAGGTGGGTCAATCTTGCATTGGATCTCCCACCAACTTACAGTGTTTCAGGAAGGTACCTGATTGACATCAAACATCGAAGTGTGGAGGTCTGTTTATCTGGGTTCAGCAGAGCTGGCTAGATTCAGCTACAGGGGTGCCTACATTTGCTAGGACCCATCCTGTGGGACTGGGGGATGCTGTGGTTTCCAGAGAAGAGTTCAGGAGGCTGGAGAGGGCCAAGTAGAGAAGCCTTGTACAGTATAAAAACTCAGAGGAGGTTCAGGGCACCAGGCAAACAGAGTGGGACTCTCAGAAGGGCTCAAGCCCCACAGGGAGGTGTGACCAGGCAGAGTGATTAAACAGAACATCTAGTTGGCACTTAAGGTAATAAGCCAGGCCTACAGGAAGGCCCAGTCAAGAATGGGTAAGACTCAGTGGCTCCCCAGGTGAGTTAAGGACTGGAAAAAAAATACACATTTTCCAAGTGTCCACTAGGTGGCAGACCCTTTCCTATACTAAGAATCTAAGCGTCCTAGTCTAAGGGACTTCCTGATACTCAGGTTTTAAAAATCAGAGGGCTGGTTAAGCACAGGTTCCTGGGTCCCTTTCCAGAGCTTTCAGATCAGTAGTCTGGGGTGGGGCTTGAGATTCTGCATTTCTAAGAAGCTCCAGGTGCTGCCAATGCCACTGGCTGGTGAACTGTGAGCACCGCCGAATACATCATCTCAGACGCTGGGCAGGGAGGAGGTGGGCAGGGGGATGTTGTCCTCACGGCCAAGCTACCAGTTCCAACCGGGACCAAAACTCCAGGGAGTGTAGTGTGGAGATGGAGGGTGGCTTGGGGAAGGGAATGGGGCCACTTGCTTCTGGCTGGAAATAGCCTCTGGCTGGAAATAGCCTCTAAAGTAGATTCGAATTGTGGGCTTTGCAGCAGAATGTAAGGTCTTCAGAGATCTCATTCTAGTTAAATATGTTATCAACTAATTTCATTAGAACAACTGTAGCAGATAGGAGCACAGGTATATGCAGATTAACATGAAAGCAGAATTCAGATCAAAATGAAAAACAAAACATTAGATACATAACAAAAACAAACCTAAAGAAAAACATTAAGAATAGTATAAAGCACAAATCAATCAGTGATTCTCAACTTATTTAAAAACAGGATTGTTCATTATGGCTCAACATACGGTTCTAGTGCACAAGACTCTAGGTAGCTCTGGCCTCGTATGACTGGCAGGCAGATTTGACAATACCCAACTGATCTCTCTACCTTGTTCAAGGAGGCAAATGCACTGATCATGCATCTGAAGGTCAGTGGCAATGTCAAATGGCTATACAAAATTTTAAAGCTTATTCTTAGTTTCTGTACTTGCATCAATAGAGTAGGAAAAGTCATAGTCTGCAGAAAGCTCCCCGTCCACAAATCACACTTACAGGTGCACCGGTCTAGACTGGCTAGATTACTGGTTTGGGAGATGGGCTTATTACACAACGTTAAGCAGTCAATTTGTTCTTTTGGCTCCTGCACTGCAGATCCTTAACTTTTTGTATCCCGAAGGCCACTTAGTTCTTACAGTTCCATTTGGGGTCCTTGAAATGGGGCTACTTAGATGTTCTTTTAGCCCCACTGCTATTTCTTCATGCTCGGACATCAAGGACAATGTCCCACACGTAGCAGGCACTCAATAAACCCTTGTGGGATGAATGAATGGGATGATAGCCCCGGACTGAGAGACCAAGCATGCTTGGGGACTAGACAGAGATACCCAGGAGATAAACAGCCAGCATAGATGGGCATCAAAACAGAACTCTCCTCACAGTGACTATACAGAGGTGGCAGGCGAGCAGAGTAGATGGGGAAGAACCAACTCCAAAAAGGAAAGAGCGACTAATCACATTGTTCCCCTGACCTCACTGGTAAATACAGGTGCTCACTGCGAACAAGTGAAATTCAGTTAATAAGGTTCTTGGGCCATGACAACGTAGGCTTCCTGGTGGCATTTTCATACTGAACCAAGGCACTGGCTCACATTCATGCCAAGGTGAACCCTGGTTAGTCTGGAAACTACAGGAGAGTTTACCTTAGCTGTTTTCCTTTTAGGAAAACACTAGAATCTTGAGGAAGGACTCTAATAATTTATTGATAATGTCTTATTAAATAAGTCTCTGACTTCCAGCAGTAGAGAGCTAAATGAATGCAAAATCAACTCTAACCTCCCTGAAAGGTCACGTCCCACACCACAGTCATTGGCCCTGCCACCCTCCCCCATCCTTACCAGGCACACAGCGCAGTCCAAGAAATTGCTGTGATTTAATGATGCAGAACTACTAATAATGATCACAGTAATAATGATAGCTGCTATTTAGAGAGCACTATAGGAGAGGTATTAGGCTAATTGCTTAAAAACATTATCTTATTTAATTTTGTCAACAATCACATAAGTTTGCTCAAGGATAGAAATTTGGAAGGGCTAGGATTCTAGCCCAAATATGTCAGACTCAAAAGTGTGGTCTTAACCACTGTATTATACTTAGGGTCTTGGATCCAAATAAAGACTCTTTCCTTTTGCTTTTAAGGTATATGAACAAATTGAAAAGTGTGCAGTGTAGGGAACTCTAGATGCCCAAGGTCAATATTTCTCATAAAAGATCGAGACAAAGATGGTCCCTCTGATTAAATGAATAAACGAATGAATGAATAAATGAATGACTATGGGTACCAATTGTGAATAAATCAGATTTAGTTAGTGAGGTCCTCAGATTATGAGAACACTGCATTTTCTGTTGACACTTCATTTTATACCAAGGACTGACATGGTTTTGACGCCAGCTCAAAAAATTCAAAGATATAATCTGGTTATAAATTCTAAGACTAAATCCCAATTGTATTTCAAACAAATGTGTACATAGACACACACACACACACACACACACACACACCTGTCCTATATCCTGACTCCTTTGAAAAACATTTTGCTCTTTTTCTAAATATCCCTCTCAATTTCTCAGATCTCCTAAATAACAAAGATAAGGGACAGACACAAATCTTCCCAAACAGAACCTGGATGGTTTTGACTGTTCTCCAATGAGACCGTATATCACTATTTTATTCTTCTTCTTAGATGATCCTATTTTCATCCGAGGATGTGCACATTCAACTTCCCAGGCCAACTGGTAGTTGCAAGGAGCTTCTGAAGTGTTTCCAGAAAAGCTAAAGGACTAGCAGTTCTTTTTCGAGGGAGATAAATATAATCATGTGCTTATGTTTCAGTTAGAAGGGGTTGCAAAAGTCTTTCAGGGCTCATATATAGGAGTCTTTGCAACTTTCATTAATATATCTTGGATGTGATTGCCAAATTTTCAAAGATCCAATTTCAAGTTTTGTCAGGAGGCAAAATATTTAAAGAAAAAACAAAAGCCTTTGTAAAAAGAAAATGCTAAATTGAAAAAGAATGGGAAGTCACATGAACTTGGACATTTTAAGACATAAGTTGATTTCTTGGACATTTAAAGACTAACTTAAGAAGGTATTTTGGGGAGCCTTAAGACAATAAAGCGATCAGCACAAAGACATCTGTCAGGGTGGAGGTGACCTGAGGTAAAGACCAGCTAAATCTAATGCAATCAGGAACTTAGGCCAGTTTAACATATTTTTTATGAGGTGACAACCTCCTAAAACCATAATCTCACCTTTCAGGATGATCACACAAGGATTTAATGAGTTAAAAAAACAACTTAAAATCTCTCTTTTGAACATGAATTGTCTATTTGGTTTATAAGTAGACTTTGAGATCCCATTAGCTGCTGGCACAATTGGGGAAGAAACGTACACACACACACGTACACACATTTCAAAGCAAGTACTTATATGATGATAGCAATGCCTGTTTCTACTCAGATTCAAAAATAGAATTAAAGCCAAAACTAACAACCTTTCTGCTAATTAGAGAAACGCAAACATCTTCTCCCCAAGTGCCCTAACGCTACATGAAACTGAAATGAACTGCTTTCCTTGGGAACCCACTTACTTAATTATGTTTAGAAGAGGAGTTGGGGATAAAGAAACTCATAACAGAATTGTTGGGGGAAGCACATGGACACTGTACACTGGAATACACTAAGACTGAGCACACGGTTACAACAGAGAATTCCCCCCCTTGTTGAAACACTTGCTACGGTCTAATAAAAACCTGCTCACCTTTACATTTCTTCTCCTCTGTCTGGAAGGTCTGGGCACTTGGGGCACTCTGCTCATTCACATCGTCATGGTCCAGGTGGAATATGGAGCTAGTCCACGTGGCCTGGATGAGATGTGGCGATGACTGTTCATTTTTCAATGTGTCGTGCCTCTCCGCATGGCTCTTCCTATGGAGGCAGGCTTCAGACATTCCTACTAGCTTCCAGTTGTGGTCTTGGTCTGGACAGTGCTTCGGTTTGTCCCAGGCTGTAAGGCCATTTTCTGGAGGGTTGAAAAATACGAGATGATGAGCTGTTGGCATTGTCAGGATTTGGTTGAGATGCGGTTCTGGAAGGCAAGTTGTTTCTCAATTCTTTGGGGCTGACGGTATTCACATGCATCTCCATTTGACGGCAGTGTTAAGATGCAGGATTTGTCAGCCTTGGGCATGTAGCCACCACAGTTGGATCGCCTGTCAGAGTAATCAACACATTCCCCTTGACTTTTAGCGCCTACAGAGACATTAGCTCCTCCCTGGGAAGGCTGTACTTTCGCCAGTCTTGCTTCCACACCAATGTCCCAAGAGCCAGTTTACACCAATTTATGTCACTGCTTAGGTGACCATTTGAGGTCAGGAGGGTCAGGGCTGGTCGTGAACACTTTTTAGATCCTTAGGACATGGCACATCCAGGGTTCGGCCTTGTTTGACTTGGGTTTTATCACAGGCTGACCTGAGGGGCACCCTGTTACTTAAGTGGGGCATGTTCACGTGGCTACCCTGAGTGACAAGTCCATTCTCCTTCTACCTCTGATGGCCTAAAAGAAGGAGGCTGGATCTTGTAAATGGTTTCAATGTAGTCTCAAATCGGCAATGAGATCCAGTGATGGATACAGCAGGTGGTACTTTAGTTGTGGGGTGAATTAAGAGCCCCAATGATAGATTAATAAACCCCAGATCTCTTTGGTTGAGGTACAAGCAGTTAATTATTGATGTATATTATGTTGTTGTTTTTTCTAGTCAATTAATAGGGACTTGAAGGTCAGTCCTCTATAAAAATGGGGAAGAATGGAAACATATAATGAAAACTTTCTCACACTAGTAGCGAATTTTACCTCCTTAGAATCTTTCCTGCACATGGATATGAAGTAGAAAGTAAAAGTGAGCAAGCTAATACACATATTTGTATATGCATACACATTAAAAACCTAATCCCTCTGGTCATTCATATTTCCAAAAATTCTTAGGTGATTGTCTGTCAAAATGAGAAAAAATATAACATAAACACAGTTCTGTTTTTAAAGTGATCACATACAGTGATTGAAAGACTATAACTTGTAAGTGAATTTTTTTGTGCTGAATTTACCAAAGGACCATAGATATTTATATTAGAAAGACAAGTCCATTCTGATCTGTGCATTGGACTGGGAATTTTAAGCTGTTTTCAGACATTTAAAATGATTTTTAAATGTTTAGCACAAGAGTTAAAAATAGTTTCGGTTTTCGTAAGCACCGTCTCTAAAGCTACTAGATGTCTTCAGCGGATGTTGGTTAGGATGGTTTCTCTAAGGGTGCAATCTATTCTCAGGTTACTATGTGAAAATTCTGGTACTTGCACACTCCGTTTCTACTCCAGGACAAGAGTGTGAACAACTACAGCAATAAAGTCGTACACGTGATTTCTTTGTCACAGTAAATGGAATTGCTGTGGCTCAAAATACCCTACCTTTGCCAGTAAGCAATAGTCCTATTTAAAAAGTCATACAATGCGGCCGCTTTTGGAGGTAACATTTGCTCTTATTCAGAGAAGAGCCCTGACAGTGCACTCTATGCAGAGAGCTGTGCTAGGCATTACGTGAGGTCAGTGAAAGAAACACGGGCCCTTTCTCCTAAGAGTTTATATGGCATTCTTCAATGCAAGGCCTGGACTCAACCAGGCCCACTACTGGTGCAATTACAGGCACTTATGCTCACGATCCATTAAAAGAAAACAGATTAAGATCTGAGGAGATTGTATTGCATTTCAGACTCAACGTATCTATGTAGAATCCATTCAAGTACCTATTATCCATGAGGGTTTGAGGTTTTCATGAGCTAAATATAAAGTTACTGAATGCAAGAATTAATTCTGGGCCTAAAGAGATTCATTTTATTTCTACAGACATGAAAAGCCTTCTCACCCATGTATGTTTCTGCAATGTCTACTTTATTTTCTGGGACTCTCTAAGTCCTTGGCAAATTGCATCCTGTAGAGCTACACTTTAAGCAATGTTGAAGTGATCACACTATTGTGTAAAACCGCCAACATTTCATTTTTCTACAGAAATTCTTAAAACTTGGTATAAATTTCCCTGCCTGAACAGAAATTAAGCAATACAGCCAAACTGGGTAGTTACTGCTCCCTAGTGAAGGGAGCTAGTGAACAGGGCTTGGATGAGAGATGCTGAAAGGGACTCCACCCAAGGGGGCAATTCCTCCTTAGAGTACAGCCTATTGAAGCTTGCTCAGCATTTCCCCTGGGCCAGCAAGGGCAGGGTTTTTTCCCTAAGCAGGGGAGGCTGTATTAGGGGCGAGGCAGGGGATAGGATTGCCTGCCATTTTCCCAAGAAAAGAGGCCGAGGCGGTTTGGGAAAAGGGCTTCTTTCATTGAGGCATTTATGAGCTTATAATTACTGTCTATAATTACATTCATGATAATGATATTCAGTTGCTTAATTGGCAGGTTTATTGGTTGGGGATCCTGCTGGGAAACCTGGGGGCTCAGAAATTCTGGTTGGGTCATGGAAAACTAGAGGGGTTCATTTAAGGAACACTCTTGGTTTCAATCCTCCCCCAAACAGGGGCTGGGGGGCACATACAATTCTTGTTCCATTCCCAAGGAGGGAAAAGGCACCCACTACACCAGGCCCCTTAAATCCTGCCTACTGGGCATGCTGTCATTGGGATAAATACAAGGTACCTCCACATATGCCTGCTTGGCAAGAATGGTTTCCAGGAATCTCCTGTGATTTCTGTGTCTGATGCTTTCATCCTTTGGTTCCCTCGAAACTCAAACCAGGGAGATATTTTTTTAGATGGATTAAAATATCAAAGGTTAAGTCAGTGATTCTCAAACTTTGGTGAGACTCAGAATCACCCGAGGCGCTGTTAAAGACCATGGAGACCAGGTATATTGAAGAAGGATGGGTTTGGGCATTTGTATATTTCCTAGGTCTCCCAGATGATTCTGATACCATAGAGTTTGAGATTCACAGGGTTAAGAAAATCTAAGGCAAGAAAACAAATTATTGGCAAGTTTTGGATAATTATTGGCAATCTCCTTCTCAGACTCTAGTGTTTTACACAGTCTTGGAGTAAATGTGTATTATAATTACAAATTCATCAATTGTTTTGAGATGTTTTATATGAAGCATTAAAAAGCAGGTGTTAATTGCATGTTATAGGTATGGAAGTAACTAAATTTCACTGAAAAACCTATTGTTTTGAGCATTATCAGGGACACAATGTACACAGTAGTAGAAATACTTTTTTTTAAAAAAGGGGGATTCTAGAAATGATCATATCTTGCTATTTACATGAAATATAAACCCTTTGCTCCTTAATGGATCCCAACTAACATCTGGCTTTTCTTGCTTCATATTCTAGACACCAAGACACTTAACTAATTTGTCAGTTATGAGGCAAATTAATAAATAAGTAAAATTAAAGATTATAACAAAGTAGGGACACGTGAACTGTTACTGAAATAACTTCTACACATTGGCTTGTGTGCCTCTGGAGAGTTGAGATGGGAATGACTGAGTCTGCATTCACTGATCATAATTCTAGTGGCTTTGAATGACACAGCACTGCTCCAAAGGGTTCTTTTTCAAAGGAGAAGCAAGCATAAATCTCATTAACATAACTACCTGCAGCCAATCTCTGGAAATTTCATTAACGATGATAGAAAATAAATCTGTCCGTCAAAAAAGGGAGAATTATATTAAAATATTCATGTATTTCAGGACACCAAAGCAGGCTGTCACCTTAGAAAAGCGCCAAGGCAGAGGAAGTAGGATTATGACAAAGGGGTCAGAAAGGGTCAGCTGAGTAGGCGGGGATTTCAAGGCACTCATTCTAAGAGTGTTTACTTGGCATTCAAAGGCCATCAATATTAGGTATTAAGACCCCAAACCATATTCTGTATTAAGAGAATGTGTATATAAAATGCTCTGCAAACTCAGGGAGTATGTAGAATTATCATCATATAGCATCAGGCTATTAAGTATGATGTCTTTAATTTCCATTTTAATTTTTTTACTTCAATCCATACGTTTTAGCCTTGCTGAATTCGCAGGCTATGTGCATATTAACCTATTTTTGTGGCCTCATACAGAATGGGAGACTAATATTTGGCTGAGCATTTACTGCGGGCCAGGTGCTGAGCCAGACACTTTTATTGATCTTTATGAACATCCCAGGAAGTACACAATAACAACTGCTTGATTGGCAAGGAACCTACAACTCAGAGAAGCACTTCATTTGCTCTTTCACATCTTTCCTACTGGCTAACAGATTAGTCTCATTATTTGACTTAATTTGATGAATAGCCATTGGCCTATTCATAGCCATCATTTGATTAGTACTCTGAAAGTTCTTAATTAACTGTGTTTAATGTCTTATTCAATTTTCCCAATTACTCACTTATATTCACCACTGGTCTCCCAGGTTTCAGTCTCAGCCACCAACAATCCACTGTTTGCAGAGCAGCCAGAGTGAGATTTAAAAATATATACATCAGCGCATATTTCTCTGCTGCTTAAACTCTTCTGATGACTTCCTATCATTATTGGAATGAAGTCCTAAGGCCCACGGGACTTATCCCTCCTGCCCTGCTGAGCGCCTCTCCATGCCTCTGCCCTGGCTCTCTGTCCTCTGGCCACCCGGGCTTCTAACCTGCGAAGCTCATTCCCTCCGTAGCGTCTTTGCAGAAGCTCTTCCTTGTGCCTGGAGTACCCTTTCCCGGTCCTTACGTATCCACCTCCCGATGTACCAAGAGCGGTTACCAGTATCTGGCCCCTTTTTACACGAAGCTTGCATTTCCCCTTTTTTTCAGAACCTATGAGGGTTGCATTTCTCAAAGAAGATAACTGAACATGCAAAACCTAACAGGTTGGGCCCGTGCGTGGGCCCAGAGGCGCTGTTTTAGTGGAGGGAGGAGAAGGGGGGGATAGAAGATCTGGACCCCAGCTGAAGGGTCTAATCTTGGGAAAATCAATTCCTCTCTCCAAGTCTCAGTTTTTTC